TAATCACGTATAATGTTTTACATAGAGAAGAAAAGAATGATTATAGATATTTTAAATTTTTTACTTTACAAGATTTTAGATAGAATAACAACGATTTGTTATTAAGTTATTTATTTTCTAATACTTACAAATGACACAGATTCTCCTCTGAATGAAGGCAGACGAAATAAGTAGTATAATCACGTATAATGTTTTACATAGAGAAGAAAAGAATGATTATAGATATTTTAAATTTTTTACTTTACAAGATTTTAGATAGAATAACAACGATTTGTTATTAAGTTATTTATTTTCTAATACTTACAAATGACACAGATTCTCCTCTGAATGAAGACAGACGAAATAAGTAGTATAACCACGTATAATGTTTTACATAAAGAAGAAAAGAATGATTATAGATATTTTAGATTTCTCACTTTATAAGATTTCAGACAGAATATCAACAAGATTTATTAGGTCATTTATTTTCTAATATGTACGAATGACAGATTCTCCAAGACAGACGAAGCAAGTAGTATAACCACGTATAATGTTTTGCATAGAAAACAAAAGAATGATTATTTAGATTCGTAGATATTTTAGACTCGTTACTTTACAAGATTTTAAATAGAATAATAATTTGTTAAATCATTTATTTTCTAATACAAACAGATTCTTCAGAGTAAATGAAGCAAGTAGTATAACCATATATAATGTATTACATAGAGAAGGAAAGATATTTTAGACTCCTTAATTCACAAGATTTCAGATAGGATAATAATTTATTAGATTATTTATTTTCTAATATTCATAAACAACAGATTCTTCAATGCAGACGAAGTAGTATAACCACATATAATATACTACATAGAGGAGCGAAAAACGATTGTAGATATTTTATTACATAGAGAAGAAAAGTATGAATATAGATACTTTAAACTGCTTATCTCGCAAAATTTGAAATGGGATAATAACGATTTGTTATCATCATTTATTTTCTACAAGCATTCTAACACTTACAAACGACAGATCCTCCAAGACGAAGCGAGTAGTATAATCGACTATAATGGAGACCTTTATCGAAGAAACGAATATCATTCGTTCAATTCTTTTAACGAAGTATTCGAAAATGTATAATTTTCATAATTATAATAATTTTATAATTTTTCCTTTCTCTATTCTTCGATGTCCAAAATTTTCGTCCCACTTTTTTTTTTTTTTTTTACTTCAGTTTTCGTCGATTCCTTTCATCTCCCCGTGTCGCTTTTTCGCACCGCTGTACAACCGTTGTTTTTCCCTCCCCTCGCTGTCATCTTTTTTTCTCTCTCTCCTGTTCTACTTGTTTAACCCGTTTTCACTGAACAGTGAACGGAAACGAGCACAAGGGAAACAACATTAGAAGTTAAAATACGTGTCATCCCACTGTCCGCGTCTACCTCTAATGATGATTTATACATACGTTAACGTTTCACCGCCGTTTAATTAAAATTTATTCCCCGCACGTCCACCGAAATTTTATCATTTAATCGTTTATACATTCGAATACATTCGCGGAGAAAGGGAAGAATTACGAGTGATAAATGGAATCGACAAATTTTTCTAAGTGTTCTTCTGTTTGAATTTGATTAATATTCTTAAAATCTCTAATACTTTCTTTCGACTCTATCTCTTTAATTTCTTAATTGATCGCGAGAAGAAAAATTCACACGAATGTATTTACATGGAATTTTTAATGAATTGAATTTTGGAAAATATTCTTCTATTTATTATTAGATATTTCGAAAAATTCATTTCGTCTTTCGATTTCTTAATTATTTTGTGAATTGTTATGAAATTTTCATTGTTGATAATTATTTTAATAATTTCGAAAAACTCATTTCTGTCGATTTCTTAATTATTTTGTGAACGTATTATTATGGAATTTTTATTGTTGATAATTATTTTAATAATTTCGAAAAACTCATTTCTTCTGTCAATTTCTTAATTATTTTGTGAATGTTATGGAACTTTCATTGTTGATAATTATTTTAATAATTTCGAAAAACTCATTTCTGTCGATTTCTTAATTAT